GAATCTCTTCAAAATCTGTCATGTATTTTCGGCGCTCTTACATGAAAATGAACACATGAGGAGTTGGTTTTAATAGTACGTGATTTTTTTATTCATTTAAAAATTATATATTAAATAAGAATGGAACGCGGCGAGTTTTGTGTCTGCGTGTACTGGACAGTTTATAGTTCGGCAAATTTAGTAACAGACTGCTCACGATTTCTGCCAGTGTCTTGAGGAAAACACAGAAAATTGCTGACATACATTTAAAGATATTCTGTGCGCGCTGTAAAAACAGCTGATTGTTCGTGACGCATCGAGACGCCGTCCGACGAGCCATCAGGAGGAATCTGACGTCGTTCATAACAGCCACGCCATTTCTATTACCGAAGAGCGCGTTTGTTTGCAGTAAGCAGTTGTATCGACTGCCGCCTCCATCCGATATCGATAGGTCGAAGCGATGCCAGGATCGACATTAGAAACGCAGGGAAACTTTAACAAAGACAGTCTTTTGGACATGATCCATTTTATCGGCTGTCATGTTCATATTCTGTAACACACTTCATCTTATTAACCGTTTGAACCCATTTGCTTTACGTGTTTCTCGCGATTCTGAGTGTAAGCATCGATTATTTACTTAAACAGCGTTAACCAGTCGATCTTTGTAATGGTGAAGAGTTGTGTTTTCTTCGCGGTACGGACTGGATTCTTAAATATTATTTAAACTACACGTCGACACAGGTTTTCTTAGATTCCCTCTGTCTTTAAGCAAATTCTGAGCTGGTTCACAAGTTGCCACTTCATGCTTCTCATGCAGCGCTCCCGATTTAAATTCATCAAAATTTAAGCCATTTCAGTGGCGGCTGGTAAATTACTTATTTAACTTTCCAAATTATAGCTTAAAACTTCATTAAGAAACAAATCAAAATTCCACCGTCTCTGTCAGCAAGATGTCACTACTTATCACACTAACGTCTTCATGAAGATTCTATCCTGAACAGAGAGACGAGCGGGCATTGCCTGGGAACCTTGTAACTATAAGATGCTCATTCTCCCCCATCAATTTTCTCTCTGCTTCTACTCTCTTATTATCCTTTCTATCTCTCTCCCTCTCTCTTAGGCCTGGAAGGGTAATTTACTTCCATGATTTCCTCATTTAACGACGTTTACTCAACTGCATACTTCTGTAACGCCGAGCTTGAGATGAAGTATTGCAGTGTGGCAGTGAAACTTCCTGCGACTTCCTGGACAAAATATCACTCCGCTGTTTCTTTACGACACAAAATTTTACTTTTAATTTCTAAGTCTCGTAATAGGAGACATCATTTTGTTAAGAGGAGAAACATCATTCACAAAAATATATAAATAACATTTAATTTCTTTATATACACTGAATCATGACATATGGAGAAATTAACAGACATGCAACAGGCAGAAAAAATATTTAATACCCAATAAAAATCATTTTGATAATTGCAGGTGGTTAAAAGAGTAACAATTGTGGAGAATTAATATACTTCCCCTTACCAGCAAATATGTAGTCTCATTACGAGCATTCAATGTGAAGAAATTTCAAAGAAATTAAAGAGATACAAATTATAAATTATGATACAAATATGCATATAATCTGTTAACTTATTCATTCTGTATGCTGAAGCAGGGAACCTGAAACTTTCTAGAGCAAATTATAAGTAATGCCAGATAATTTTTACACCTAAACAAACACAAATCATAACAAACAACATGGTTCCTCATATAATCCTCAACTGTAACGTAATTCTCTATTCATTAGATATGTGCATGTAGCTGGAAGATCATGGCTTTTTTCTGCTCAAAGTGCTTGTCGTCAATGTCACATTCCTCGTCTAATAATGCCCACAACAGTAATTCAATAACTGGTCTTCACTCACTTTCAGACGCCATTATGACAGCATAATATTATGTCATGTGAATGATCATAGTCACTTACAGTCACAGAAGGCAGCGACTTACCATCGTACTTGCTTCGGTATCGAGAATGTTGAAGAACATGTCTTGCTTGTGTCAACCACCTCTTCGACAAACTCGGCCGCAATAAGTTTTCTACTGTGGCCCGTCCTAAAACAACCATTTACAGAAAGTGAGAGGGTTTACACGTTTCATACTCATGTAAGCTCTAATCAGAAAGAAACACCCCACTTTTACACAACAATCGCGGTCACAATTCTTTTGTACATATAATTGACTCCTTATGGAAACATTTTCACCACAGATAACATTCTAGATACAGTATTTTGCTTTCTGAATTCTGTTATTCTAAGAACACAAATATATATGAAGATTTCTGTCTTCTGGGTTGTTGCGCTGTGTAGTCTGGTCGATGTTAACCAACGTTTCAGAGGTCATACTGCCTCCGTCATCAGGGCGATGAGTATGAAGATTTCTGTCTTCTGGGTTGTTGCGCTGTGTAGTCTGGTCGATGTTAACCAACGTTTCAGAGGTCATACTGCCTC